TCTCACATTTTACTATAATCAGCAAGGAAAAAACATCAAGCCACACTTTACACATTCTGCTTGGAAATATCCTCAGTTAATTACCCAAGGTCGTCACAAGTTCTGTTTTCTGTCCAACAGCAGAATATGATTGAGCCAAGTTTCTGCTACTTTCTAACATCTATAACCTTTCTCCAGTTTCCAGTAATGTTTTCTTCATTTCTGCCTAAGACCTCTTTTTTGGCCACGCCGCGTAGCTTGTGGGATCTTAGTTCCCAGATCAGGGATTGAACCTGGGCCCCGGCTGTGAAAGTGCTGAGTTCTAACTACTAGATTGCCAGGGAATTCCCCCCACCAGAAGTGTTTCTTTCTTTCTTTTTTTTTTTTTTAATTTTTATTGGAGTATAGTTGCTTCACAATGTTGTAATAGCTTCTACTGCACAGCAAAATGAATCAGCCATATATACACATATATCCCCTCCCTTTTGGATTTCCCTCCCATTTAGGTCACCACAGTGCATTAAGTAGAGTTCCCTGTGCTATACATTATGTTCTCATTAGTTCTCTATTTTATACATAGTAACAATAGTGTATATGTATCAGTCCCAATCTCCCAGTTCCTCCCATCCCCCCTTCCCCCTTGGTATCCATACATTTGTTCTCTATGTCTGTGTCTCTAGTTCTGCTTTGCAAATAAGGTCATCTATACTATTTTTCTAGATTCCACATATATGCAGTAATATATGATATTTGTTTTTCTCTTTCTGACTTCACTCTGTATAGAAGTATTTTTTTTAATGCTCATTATTTCTAGCAAAATTCTGTTCATGACAATATATGTATTCTCTAAGATGACAGAGGATTCCTCTACTGTCCTTTTCACTTCCTTCTGAGACCCTGCCAAAGTCACCTTTAATGTCCATATTTCTACCAACAATCTCTTCAAGGCAACCTAGACTTTTTGTATCATGAGCCTCAAAACTCTTCTAACTTCTAGCCATTACCCAATTCTAAAGCCACATCTACATTTTTATGTATTTGTTAAAGCAGCACCCCATTTCTGGTACCACAGACAGAGTGGTTTAATACAACAAAAATTGATTCTGTCACAGTCTGGAGGTTAGAAATCCAAAATCAAAGGTGCTGGCAAGGGCCATGCTCCTCTGAAGGCTCTGGGGAAGGACTGGTTCCATGCCTGTCTCCTAACTTCAGTTGGTTGCTGCCGTCCTTGGCATTCTTTCCCTTATGGATGCATCACTTCAGTCTCTGCCTCCACATTCACATAGCATCCTCCTCTCTTTGTGAGTCCCCTCTGTGTCTGAATTCATCTCTTTGTATATGGATACCAGTCATTGGATTAGGGCCCACCTTAAACCAGTATGACCTCATCTTTACTTGATTACATCTGCAAAGACCCTATTTTCAAATAAAGTCACATTCTCAGGTAACAGAGGTTAGTAGTTGAACATATCTTTTGGTGGGGGGGACACAATTCAACACAACAGTGTGGTAAGTACAAACTAAGAGTTGTTTAAACCACTGTGACTTGGTTTTGAAGTTGAAGACTTCAAATTGTTGCCAATGACCTCATTTGATTGAAGACAAAAGAAATGATTTGATCTGAATTCAACACTAAAGGTCTTGGCGAATTCTAGTGTTTCTGATACAAGCCTACCCATCTCTGCAAAGTGAACCTAGGGAACTCTGATTATATTGGCCATTATTTCCCCTTCTGAATCTGAGTTTTCAGCACTTGTTCTGTTTTTGAAAAGTCAAAGTCAATTGGACACGCACATTAACATTTCAAAGGTGTTGTATTGTTGTAATTCAGGTGTCTTATTCAAAACAAACAGCAGCAGCCTACTCACTAATACACACTTGATCAAAAGGAAAGTTAATTATTTTTAGTTTGGCTTCACAATTTGGGTTTATATCCCTTTTTTACCTAAACCTAGAGATTGAGTTTTAAGTTGAAGTTCATTCTTTGTGAAGATTTCTTATACAGTCTAAGTATCGAAGGAAATTACTTTCCAATGCAATGTAATACATGGTAAGCAAAAGTTCTCATGTAGGTCTTCAACTTTCTGAGGAAGAGGTCCATGGTTTTCATCATATTCTCAAAGGAATTATATTATCTCAAAGATTAAGAACCACTACTCTACAAACCATGCCTAAATCAGATATATGTTAGTTTGGCCTAGTTTCTCCCAAGAGGGAATGGAATAGGAAATAGAAATCAGGTAGAATATTGGGGGGGGGGGGGGGGGGCGTGTAACATATCAGTTTCATTCTTGAGGCTCTGATATCATTTTCATGCCTGTATTACCACCCCGATCTCTCTGGAAACCTCTGAATGTCTTTTACCTTACTGAGATGAACCTCTTCAGTGTCAGCTGGAGTGGACCACAGTTGGGTCTAGGTTTGTTTTGGCCAATCCATTGAACTCCAAGCTGGCTTCTCAGACTCACTCACGGAATGTAACATTTCTGGTAAGACTCCACAAAGCAACAAATCTAGCATAATCTGAAAGAACAGTTTAGTTTTCTTGGTTAAACACCCAGAAAATTTATGTTCACTTCATCACTTCTGGGTAGAAGATTAACAAAACCCTTACATTTGTATGTGAGAATTAACCTTTGGTTGACTTTCCCATTCTCTTTTACTGGAAACCTATTACAAGTATGTCAGCTATGGCATTCTCATACACTGTTGGTGGGAATGCACAATGATTCAGCCACTCTGAAAAGCAGTGTAGCAGTTTCTTAAAATGTTAAACATACACTTAACCAGGAAAGAGAAAAAAGCATATGTCCATATAAAGACTTGTACACGAATGTTCATAGCACCTTTATTCGTAATAGTGAAAAAACTATAAATAACCCAAATGCCCATCAACTGGTGAATGGATAAACAAATTGTGGTGTGTACATCCAATGGAATATTATTCAGCAACAAAAAGGAGGAGTGGACTATTGATACACACAGCAAGATAGATAAATCACAAAATAATAATGCTCAGAAAGAAGTCTGAGTGCAAAACAGAGTGCATTCTGTTTGATTCCATTTAAATAACTCTCTAGAAAATGCTAATTAATCTATAGTAACAGAAAGTAGAACAGTGGTTGGGGGCTGTGGTAGGAAAGGGAGGGATTATCAAGGGAAGGAGGAAATTTTGGGGGATGTGGTCACAATTTTCATTGTGGTGATGGTTTCACAGTTGTATACATATGACAAAATTTACCAAATTGTATACTTTAAATATTTGCTGATTATTGTATGCCTGTTATACCTCAGTAAAGCTATTTTTTTTTTTTTTTTTTGCAGTACGCGGGCCTCTCATTGTTGTGGCCTCTCCCGTTGCGGAGCACAGTCTCCAGACGCGCAGGCTTAGTGGCCATGGCTCACGGTCCCAGCCGCTCTGCGGCATGTGGGATCTTCCTAGACCGGGGCACTAACCCGTGTCCCCTGCATCGGCAGGCGGACTCTCAACCACTGCGCCACCAGGGAAGCCCCAGTAAAGCTATTTTTTAAAAAGCATCTGTACTCCCTACTTGGGAGGGCTGGACCCAAACGAGCTCCTTACATTTTATCAGGGTCTCATTCACACACCCCTAAGTTTTCATAAATCAGAACAGGGTCTTAGGCTGGAACAGAAAACCCTCTTCGTCTACCTCAATCATTACTTCAGCCACCATTTTCTCAAACCTATACCTTTTCCTCCGACATCTTAACCCAAGTCACATGTCTCACCGGTCTCAATACTTCTATTATTTCTTATTTCTATATCTCCCCCCTTGCCCCCGCCCTTATTTCCCAAGATATTTCCAAGGAAACAGCAATATCCTTTCCTACCCTGATGCCCTCCCCCACCCCCTTTCAGGTCCTTCTCACCCTGATCCTTTAGCCACAATGAGGATTGTATTGGCAAGCAAACATTTTAGGAGACCCCATGGCCTTTCTTGATAGCAAAGTAGGTGAAAATCCAGCTTTGCAGCAATTTAGGGGTTAATTCCTGAGCATTATTTCTTTTTAAGGCAGTGGTTCTCAAAGTGTGGTCCCAGGACCAGCAGCATCAGGATCATCTGAGAACCTGGGCTCCTATGACAGACTTACTGATTCTAAACCGGCGTGGGGCCCAGCAATCAGTATTTTATTAGAGGCGTGCCACTGTGCTGGGGGGAAAACCAGAGAGGACAGGAAGAAAGTTAGAATGGAAGCACACCAGTGAATCTGATTGACAGGTTTGGGGTTGGGTGGGTGGTGGAAATGATTTAAAAAGAGAGAGAGAGAGAGATAATTAAGTAAGAACTCATTTTGTAGTCAGAAAACCTACCCTGCCCCAGGGAGCTTTCTAGAAAGATGTTTTCTGACATTCACGTCAAGAACTGGCAGATAGGGGGACTTCCCTGGTGGCGCGGTGGTTAAGTAATCCGCCTGCCAATGCAGGGAACACAGGTTCGATCCGTGGTCTGGGAAGATACCACATGCCGCGGAGCAACTAAGCCCGTGCACCACAACTACTGAGCCTGTGCTCTAGAGCCCGCGAGTCACAACTACTGAAGCCTTCATGCCTAGAGCCCCGTGCTTCTCAACAAGAGAAGCCACCGCAATGAGAAGCCTACGCACCGCAAGGAAGAGTAGCCCCCGCTCGCCCGCGACAAAGCCCGCGCACAGTAACGAAGACCCAAAAATAAATTAATGTTAATTTTTAAAAATCCGAAGTGATTAAGTTATGTGTGTGCATGTACACACACACACACACACACACACACATATTAAAACAAAAGGAATTGGCAGCGAGCGCCAGCTAGGCCCCCTCGCTACGGCTCCGCTGTGGCCTGATCCGCAGCTGTTCAGGGTTAAATCTCGGCAACTCCCAGCCCCACCTCACCTCGCCGCCCTCCGCTCCGCGCGTGCGCACGTGCGAAGCCACGCGCCATAGAGCTGAGCAATCCTCCCAGATTCCTAGAGCGGTCGGCGGTGATGGCCGGTTTACAGGGTGTGAGGCTTGACGGTGACTTGGAGAATACATCGAGGTATGGGTGATGTCGGCTCACGGAAGGCGGAGGAACTCGGGTGATCTGCCCTCCCCAGCGGCCTTGCAGCGCCACCGGGGAACCGTATGCTGTTTCTTGAGTCCGTGGGGAGTCGAAGCTTACGACGTGGCCCCCAGGCGCGGCTCCTGGGCATTGCGAGCTGGTCGGTTCTCGGCCTGGTGTGCTTTTGGTACGCGGTCAGCCCTTGACTAGCGTTGGGTTCAGCTGAATGAACACCAGAAACTTTGGGGGCGGGTGGAATCCAGAGCTTGGATGCATTCACACGAATCAGCGGACGAATGCGTGAGTGTGATAAGAACGGAAGGAGGGAGAGACAGATCATGATGATGGATCAGTAGTGTCATTTCGGTGTAGAAGAGGCAGCGAATAACATAGAGCTAATCGCTAGGGCAAAATTCTGAAATTCCCTACCCGGCCTTATCTTTACAGTTATATCCTGATTTTGGTAGCATTAACCCCCGAATTATCTTTGAAGATCTCTAGATTTGGAATGGAGAATGTATGTCCAAGAGGGGTGATGCCTGACTCCTGAATGATAGGGAAA